AAAAAAAATATATGTCCACACGGAAACGTAAACAAGCTTGTCTGCGATTAGCTATCTGAGCGTGGCGATAGAAATGCGCCCTTATAACGGTAGATGACACCATTTACCAGTTAACTTTGCTGCGCTCTTTGAAGCAATGGCAGGCGATAAATTGTGATTTTTAATTAAAAAAGTGGAAGCGTATAACTTCTCCTGTATGCTCAACTAGCACACATACAAACGAAAGTACATAAACATGAAACTGCAGCTGCAAGCGTGAAATAGACAAAGCAAAGCGAAAAAAATCCATAAAAACCCTTTCGACTACAACAAAGCCAATAAAGCGTATGTGATGCTCAGCATTGACTGTTACATTCAACGCCATTCACTTTCGCTGCACTGAGCTGGCATTTGGATTTGTTGTTGTCGTTTGTGTTTTTTGCAGTCTTGTTACCACATATAAACTCACCTTGGATCTGGGCATTGCTCACACAATGGGCATTCACTTTCCGGTGGCCGCTGTCCGTAGAATTTAATTTCCTTTCCTACATATGGTATCTCGCTGTTGGGATCTTGCGCTGAAAATAAAAGCCACGCAGTGTTTATAGCCAATTTTCCAAGCCCTTATGTGGGCATAAAGCCGGTTAGCAAACTTACGCGCAATTTCAAAATTGACCATAGTCGCATTCATCTCATTGCGCGCCACACAATAGTAGTAGCCGAAGTCGTCTTTCCTCAAATTCGTAATGGTCAAACGCATTGTTGTCTTGAAGCTGGAAGGGTGGATAAATATTTGAGCATTTCAGTTCACAGTTCTTATTATTTATGCTATATTGCAATTATATAGACAGGCAATGAGTACCTGTCAGTGTATGTCTCGATTTGGTATTTATCGCCTGGATCTAGAGTTTTTCCATCGTAAGCACGCTCCCAATACTTGATTGCCTCAGGGAATGCTTCCACCTGTAACAGAAAAGTCACTTTAGCCATAATGAAAAATCAAAAGGATTTTATTTAAACTTTAAAGACACTAATTTTTCCAACTTTTGTCAGAATTCGCCGGTGTAAACGAATTGCTTTCATTTTCTTCAGCTTAAAAAGTGAAAACCGTAAAAATTTCTGAAAACAAATGACATAAAGTTCTCTCGGAAGGATGTAGATTCTAAGCTCCTGCCACATATGCAACTAATTAAGATTTCTCTGTCATACCAACACTTGACTCAAATGAGTATGAGCACCATTTACAGTTTTAAGCATTGCTTGCTTTATGCCAAATAAGACATAGAGCAAATTCCATGGAGTACTTTACTGCACAATTAATTTTATTTCTTGTAATAAATGTAAAACAGACAGTAACGGTGCACAGACGAAAGGGTAAAACTCCCAAGTGCCGAAAAATTAGACGAAAATGACAACAATTGAAGGGAAAGCTAAGCTGAGGGCTGGAATAGGCGCCTACGATTATACAATGTTGGATTATACAAGTTGAACCTGACAAGAGAGCAAAGAAATAATCAAGCGCGTGTGTTGCTTACATGCGGCCTCCAGTTGAGTAGTGGGTGTCTGGAGTGGTTTCGACGATGCTACGGCAATAAAGCAGGAAGGGAATATTCAACTCTGTCACGTTTAAACGTATTTATAGCCATGGCGTATGTCATCTAAGAAATTTTCTGAGCAATTATGTAGTTAGGATATGGATGAAGTAGCTTTTCATTGACAAAGTTTTAGAGTCTCAAAGTGAGAGTAGACACATAAGTATCGATTTGCCTGCTTTGCTTACAGCAAACCATCTACTTAGATGACATAACCCTTCGTCGTGAAGTGGCAGGTTATCGAGGGTCTAAGGCTAAATAACCATACATAAATACAATACATAAGTGTTTGTTATTTTTGGCAAGTAAAACGGTCCATATACAATTATGTATGTAAACACAACCGTTATTGTAGCACCCTTTACATTGGTGCTCTGGTTTAGTATGTGAGTTGTGGGCTGTGAAATTATTTCTTTCTCGTCTTAATTTCACCTTTGTCATTCTGTTTTTATGCTTGCTTAAGTTGTCAATTTTTCAACACGTTTTTATAAGGCTTGCTGTTGTTGTTGTTGCTATGTTGATGCTGTCATTATGCCGATTAACCTTTCATGTTAAGCGTGCTGGTAAATTGGCTGCATCACTTAGCAAAGTGGAGACATGCGTTTGACTACTTTTTGTGTCACTTAAAAAATTAGGTTAATTAAAAATCTAGACATTTTTTTGATGAGGGTGGAGCAAACATCGACGCAAATAAGTATAGTATTTTTCTATGGAAAATTTGCTTTTAAGACTAAATCGGAATTATTGCTTAGAGCTTCTTATAAAAAATTTAACCTACAATCTTTTCTTCTCATACAATCTCAAATACTCCGTACTCTTAGGTAAACTATATATAAAATACCATCTGATAGATAAAAAAAAACTAAAATAATGATGAATAATTGGGTTCTAATGGACTCCTAAAGCTTAACCTTCTTATGTATGTCAATTAGTGAGTGTTTGGCGGAAGATTGTTTACGACTCGAAAAGTTTGTCTGTCGATTTTTATCCTATTCCACTTTCCAATGGATTTGCGACTACGGAATCGTCAAAAATGTTGTAGAAGTATTTTAAGAATCTACTTTATCATATAGTATATTCATTAAAAGCATCATTACTACAGACGAAACGTAATTTTATGAATACCATCTCAAAATTGTCCAACAACTTGCCGAAACCATAGAAACCTAACCGAGGCTTAAAACAAATATATTTGAAAACGATAATAAAAACTTTGGTAAAATAAATGAAAATGCAGTTTCTTCAGTCCGAGTCAAATTTGATCAGGTGGTAAATTCGAGCCCAATAAAATACAATATTTCGACGAAAGCAAATACTTATATTCTTTTTGCTAAAAGTAAGTTTGTATAGTATACATATTATCGCAAGTTTCTAGGAAGAACACAGGGCCTTCCCTCGATATCCATATAAACAAAGAAACCAGTAATTCCGACAAATTAAGTTTAAATATACGTAAACAAAAGCAAAAAATATAGTGAAATATAGACCATCAAATTAAACGAAAAACACACAACTCCCACAAAATCTACCACAATTATATTATAATGACCGCAAAAGCGCCAGCTTCGGCCAAAACTAATCAAATAACAATCTGATATGCAGTTAAAAAAAAAAAGTAGGGCTAATGTGGTGAAGCCAACCAAATTTCATATTTATAATTGCGCTGTGAACTAGCGTTAGACACAACCCAAATTGTGGAGTTTGTAGTTCAAGCGTAAATATGCATGGACAGACAACAGATATTAGTTGGAAGGTAAATAGCGCACAATTTAATATTTGTTGTTGTTGCTAGAACTATTTCACTTGTTTATTTTAACGGTATTTTCATTTAGCAAAGTTTTTACTCGCCTCGTTATAATCTAAATTTGCTGACTTTTTTTGCTGTCTAGTTATTATAGTTTGGAATGAATGTGAAATAAAATGCAAATTAAGCTTGTAGTTACCTATTACATAACAATTAAGGGATTACAAATAAATGAAATTAATACCGCTTTATGCATTTCTGTAGCGGAATTAAGCCAATGTGAATTTAAAATACATAAGGGACTTAATCCATAGCTTACGCACAAGCATTGATATGAAGAGAAATGAAAAACATTCAGAGTGAGAAATTAATGTGTCTATAATGGGAGTGCCCAAGGAAAAAATTAGCTTTATTTGCAGATAATTAAAACAATCATAAAAGGATTTATAATAGTAAAAACAACTATATTTGACTCGATTATACAGCTTTCTATCGGCGTGCTATTTTCTTGTTGCTCGTCAGCGTTTCAGGTTTTACCTAAAACTTACATACGCATTCAGAAATTTTGTTTTTTTAAACACCATAAGGTATGGAACATTCCTGTATATTTAACCCTTTAGCAAAAATGAAAAGCAGAACAATTTTCGTTTATTTTCTCTTTTTCCGCATCTGACCCCTGAACTGTGAATTTTCAGCACGCGACTCGTCCATATTTCATTTTATTATGGCAAAATATTTATTTGCTAAAAAGTGTTAATATTTTTCTACATTGTCGTGCTCACCATGCATTCGAGCGTTGCGCTCTGTCCGTACTCAGCATAAATCATTTGTCGGTACACGGCAATCATTGGCGAAACTGTAAATGGAAAGTGTGCAAAAAGAGAATTTATATATTAGTTAAATAGATTCATGTACAGCACGTATGTATTATATAAAATAAACAAGAATGTAAAAAATATTCGTTGAAATTTATGGCAAACGCTGGGAAATAATAAAATTTTTAAAACTATTTTACCTTTTCAGAATATTGCATTTTTCGCAACGTAATTTATGCTTTTTAGTTAGTAATTTATTTTTTATTTGAATTTTACATAAATAGGTGTTAAGGTGGCCATCTAGTTACTACTATTTACCATTTTCTTCATCTGATCAAATTTGATCCGGATCAAAAAAACATTTTCATTCATCAACATTGTACAAATTTTAATTATCTTATCAATACAAGCATGCCAATTTTTTATGCACTAATAACCGATAACCGATGTATAGAGCATACTAAAGTAGAGTAAAGAGCTTCGAATAGCAATTAACCGCCTGAAGAACAACAAAGCGGCGGGGGCCGATGGATTGCCAGCCGAGCTATTCAAATACGGCGGCGAAGAACTGATAAGGAGCATGACATCAGCTTCTTTGCAAAATATGGTCGGTCGAAAGCATGCCCAACGATTGGAATTTAAGTGTGCTATGGCCAATCCACAAAAAAGGAGACTCCACAATCTGCGCCAACCACCGTGGGATGTCAACAAACTGATTGGACCTTATTAGTGTGGCTTCAGACCTGGAAAATCAACAACCGACCAGATATTCACAATGCGCAATCTTGGAAAAGGCCCGTAAAAGGAGAATCGGCACAGGCCACGTCATCCGAATGGGCGAAAACACTACAGCTCTAAAAATATTCGACGCAGTACCCGCCGGGGGAAGTAGAGTAAGATGAAGACCTGTTGGAACGAAGGTGGTGGAGAAGGACCTGGCTTCGCTTGAAATCTCCAATTGGCGCTACATAGCAAAAATGAGAAACGCCCGTGTCAAATTCGATCAGATGTTGAAATAATTACTCGTTTGGTTATAATTCGAATTAATTAATTCGAAATGAAACAAGGAAAATCCTTTTGAGAATTCGTGATATGAACTTAGGATAATAAATAACTTTCTTTGCCGTCCGTCGCACCCTAATTTCTACTTCGGATGGTATACTAAAAAATAGTGTTGAATTCTTTACAACCAGCGCAATAAGTAAATTAGTGAAATATTTCTATTAAGCTTTTTAGGTCTTAATGTGCTCACTTAACGGAAATTTAACTAATTAACTGGAATTAATTAATATACAATTTTAAAGCCAATTGATTGGCAGTATCATTTTTCGTAAAAACTTGCTATTAACTTTAATTATCACGCATTGAAAATATCTGTGCTTTTTTCTTTTTTTTTTTTAAATTAACTAATTAACTTTTCATAAATTCATACTAGGAGCTTGCCACCCAAAACTGTACTTACAGTGAACCTGAACGAGGAAGGTGGCATTCGCAACTGGCACCAGACCGTTGTCCGCATAGCAGGTGTAGGCAGCCATTTGATGTCGAGTGATGTTCGTGAATTTTAAGTAAGGCCCGCTAATCGATGACACTGAAATCGACAAGGGTGAAATACTTGGCGTTAAAGCACTATCTCTATAATAAGTACATGTAATGCGCTTAACTGACTAGCGGCGATTTCGCATAAATCCACAATTAAATATTAATGAAAGTGTTTATAAAGTCTATAAACTTGATTATACTTACTTTCGACACCGTTAATATTAATTGTGCGTCCATCATCGCGTCGCCACTCAACATGCGGCATCGGATTGCCGCTGGCGGCGCAGCTCAGATTCAAAGTCTTGCCCTCCTCGACGATTAAGAATCGTTCTATGTGCGGGGCATTCAAGTCTGCAAAGGCAACATGAATTTATAATGGAATTCTTTGATAATTAAGTAGCTTAAGAGCTATTGTGCACTTGTTTACCACAAATATTGAGGCGATTAATTAATTGGCATAAAATATAAATACTTAATATATTAATGACCGAAATGTTGCAATCGTAAAGTGACGTCTTGAAGGACAACATAATTGTTATGCCTCACTTTGTGAGCGTGTGTGTGTGTGTGAAAAAGGAGGATATTCGAGTTTAAAATTAATAATAGATCAACTTATAATATATATTATTTGTAATCGACTGCGCTTTGTAATTATTAGTAATCATTGAATCTATAATCAGCTACTTATTACTTGAAAATTAAAAATTATGTATCATTTATAAGTGGAATGAAAATTTATTCGGTAAGAGGTATATTATATGCAGAAGAAGGCTTAAGAAACTGTCAAACTCAACCAAGAGTTGGTTAATAGGACTAATGTACAAGTATTTACCCGCAATTGATGGTGGAATGAGTAGGTCATTGGAGAAACTGCCATTTAATAACTGCACTTTCCAAGCGTTAATTCCTGGTATTCCTGGCGTTCCATCCTTTCCAGATTTTCCTGGCCGACCACGGGGACCAGCAATACCTACAGATTTAAATAAATATGTTTCTTATTAAGAAGAAAAGTTGAAAAGGCAGTAAATTTATTTATAATAAAAATTCATCACTAAAGCCGAAGTGCTTCGAATTTACCACAAATGTGTCAAGGTGGATAATGTCAATCCCAGATATTTCCATAGGTTCGACAAGGTTTACGTACCTAAGCATTTCAATCGCAGTCTAAAAAAAACTGTACAATAGAGGGGAAAATAACAAGATGACTCCGCCTCGCTAATATTTAGCCATAAGAAACATCATTGTGACGAGATCGATTTAAGAGCATTTAGTTTAGAGGACCTCTCGCGGTTCAGACCTCAAAGCCCAAGGTGTTTAACTGGATTTAATCTTTTTATACTGCTACAAATTGAATTGTATGCAGCATGAGAAAACATTAAGGAAACATTTTCAGCACTACTTCCCTGTTGAAGAAGTCATCTTCGTATAACATTTTCCATAAAAAAACACCTTGCTGAGCACTTCAACATTCAAATAAAATTAGATGAACAGAGTCAGCAAACCTTTAATCCAAGTTACAATTTCCATTCACTCCTTCAGCCATTACTTTTTCGGTGGCATATTTTTAGTAGCCATCATCACTTCCTCAGATTGAAAAGAAACTTTCGGCCACGTTCTCAAAACTTTTACTGCAACAAATCATTGCTGCATACGAAAGAAACGAAGAAATTGCAAAACAAGGAACAAATAAACGCAAACACAAACAGAAACTGCTCACAAAAGCAAATATATAAAAAATATATAAAAAGAATAAACAAAAGGCAATATGTAAAGACAACAACCGAACTCAGTACGTACAAAGTACATAAATGTATAACAAGGACAAAAAAGATTACAGAACATACAAGGCGACGGTAATAAATTAGGGCAAAATAAGAAAAATAGCGAAGGAGGAAGTGATCTAAACTGCACCTTAAAGAAGTAGCCTCTTCAAATGCTGATTTTGGAGAACTCTAAAGCTATGCAACACCCGGCAATAATTCTAAACAAATAACGGAAAAAGTAATTTTACCTAAAAAGGGACTAAAGTCGATGTGCTGGTCCGAGTAAGGCGATTCGCCTGCCAATATCTTATTATTCGTTTGGATGGAAGTGTGTAAATACTAGACTAAAGTTCAGCATAAGTTGGCAAATCATGAGGTGGGCTCACCTCGTTGGCATACTTGTGAAATGGTAACGGATTTTGTTGTTTTAGCTGTGCCTGAATCAGAATGATAAGCGAAGCAAACGAAAATCGTAAATGCAGATGAAAGCTCGAAATGAAAACTAGGCAATTCGAAGCAAAGTTTCAGCGAATGGAGCATGTACGGGGTACAAGCAAACATGTATATAAGTATAGTGCTAAGTATGTACTTTGGGAGTCTTATTATTTCAGAAGGTATTGTATTACAAATATCTCAAACTTTAGGTGTCCATGCCTGCTTCAAACGTTTTATTTAAAATACTTATTTACAATAAAATAAAACTGGTTGCCACCATTCTTACACACCTTTCAATCCTCTCTCTCCTTGTGGTCCCTGAGCTCCCTTCGGTCCGGGTGCACCATCTTTGCCGTCCTTGCCATTTAGACCATCACGCCCATCCAAGCCGGGTAGTCCATCTTTGCCAGGTATGCCGTCGGCACCAGCACGTCCAGGTACACCATCTAAACCAGGCTCACCTGGCACACCATCACGCCCGTCGAGACCAGCACGACCGGGTATGCCAATATCACCTTTTGGTCCACGTGGCCCGATCGGTCCATTGGCACCATCGACTCCCCTCGGCCCTGGCAGACCAACATCACCGCGATTGCCCTTCGGGCCAGGAATTCCGGGCAACCCCGGTGGTCCTGTTGTACCTTTGGGACCTACTGGACCCGGAGGACCTTGAGGCGCAGGCGGACAATAGTCTTGAGTGCCTTTGCAGAAACCAGTTATGATTTTTTCCTAATGAATTAAAAATTTACAAAATTATTTTCATGTTGTAAGTCAAAATTATCTCTGAATTTAAAGAGTTTTAAATATTCGTCCTTATCTCTCACTTACCGGCACTCGACAGTAGGTATTTAAGTAAATCCATTCGTCACCGCCGGGCGCAGCTCCTTTCAGTCCTGTACGCTTGCGTATTTCCTTATCCTGCTCTTCCAGCACTTTGCGGTGATCCGGGTTGAAAAATTCGATAAAGGGATCGGCTAAAGACAGAAAATCAAACCAAAAAGTGAGTTCAATGAGACTGCAAAGCAAGTAAACGTGTTGCAACAGCATTCAGTTGTATCTAAAGCAAAAATGTGTAAATGGAAAAGCACAGGCATCAGACCACACTCATGGCAGCTAGGGAGCCGAACGACCAAAGTGAATGTGTTAAAGCACCGGATGGACAAGAAATCAGAGAAATGAGCTGCAAAACAGAGCTCAGCAATAAAATTGCGAACTGAAAATCAGCTCCAGCCTGTTGATATTGAATATTTCAAGCACTCATTGACACAGTATTATTGCTGAGCGGATGATTTCGATGCCAAGAAGATTAATGAGTTTCCCCTTCAGAAAATCACAGTCGTTCAGTTCAACTATTTATTGGAAATTTTTACGGTTTACATTAAGGGTATGCGCTGTTGAGTAAAACCGGATTGATAAGAAGGCTCTCTACAGTAAATTTCATACTCACACACATGCTGATTATGCAGTGTAGTCAGAGAAGTATTATCGCTCACATTTCTGAAATGTGGAGATTTAGCATCTCTAAATATATACTTATTTACTTGTGGATCCGACTGGTGAAAATTTCATTTACAAATAATGGCGAAAACGTTTTTGTCGGTATAAAAATACAAGGGATTGTACTTGGTATTTAATTTTGAATATGTTCATACAAATAAATTTCGTTGGAAAAAAACGAATTTAAGGATCTTTCTCAATGTCGGGTTATCAGCGTTTCTGTCCAGCTAATAGAGTTGTCCCCTTTACATACTGTACTTAATAAACAACAACAATGTTCATTGTAAATGGAGATGTCTGCTTAATAGGGCGTCCATTTAAGAGAGCTTATGCTGTATTCTTTATTTATGAATTGTTTTAACTATCCTATCTTCTAAGTTCGACCTGGACACAGTAAGTTAAATTTTACTAAAATCGGTTCAGTAGTTTAGGAGTCCATCGCGAACAAACAACGTGACACGTACTTTTTCTATATAAAGAATAGTACATACATACGAATGTGTGGAATATAGCCACGATTTCATTTAATCACTTTGAAATATATGAGAATGAATAACAAATTAAAAACAAAATACTGTACAATAACCTTATTCTAATTTTTCATGAAATAAGTTCCATTACTAGTCGCTATAAACTTTCAGACATTTCTTACTGGTGTTGGAATGACTGTGAAGTCTTACTCGATGAATACAAAACTTTTCATATATTCGGCCATACAATTTAACGAAATTGAATTGTTTCATATTTAGATACTTTTAAATGTAATTATTTGAAGTGTCTTTGTACAACATTGCGTATACGTAACTTGTATGAGACTATAAGAAAGAAGAACATAAACAGCATGCTTCAAACACATTTCTTAGATTATTTCTGACTACCATCACAAATTAACACATACATAAGCGAAAGGTGCCACGTGCCACACGCTTGCAGAAGCTTCAGACTCAAAGCAAGGATTTTACGGTAAGTCAGTTTGCATGACTTTAAAGTAAATTTGCAAATTTAATCATAGAATATGTATTTAAAATGAAGAATTTATGTATATTTTAAACCTTATTAAGTTTTCTGCATAGAAAATAAAAACTAACGGTCGCTCACAAACAATTTCGCTAATTAAATAACACACCACCCCGAAGAATACCCATTAACCAAAGGCAGGTAGAGCAAGCGTGAAATAAAATAAATAAATAACATTTTTCATTTGCATAGCGCATTGTTATCAACACTTTGATTCCCTTGAGCGCCTAACGAGCCCAGCAAATGCTTTCTCGGCGATCTTACATTGCATAGCAGCCGGCGACGAGGTAATATCACGGCGTACTCTTCTTGCCACAGGACTCGCACTCCCCTGCACCGCAGCGGTTTCTGCGGCATTCGCGGTTGTTGGGGTGTCTGCAACGTGTCTGACATGTCCAACATATTTGCGCTCATTTCTCACCAGCGTTCCATCGTCAGCCAGCATCGTTGCTGTCTTTTCTTCTGCCGTCGCTCGAATCGTGCTGCAAAAGGAAATGATAAAAATGTTAAATAAAATAAAATTATATTAAATTATTTAAAACGTTTTTTATGTGGAAGTTGAAGTGCTTCAGTAAAAGCCACTACTCTGAATGGCGTATATAATTTGTGTGTGAGAAAATGACATTTAGAAAAGAAGCTAACAATTTCGTTTGGTTCATTGGAAACATGCAGATCAATTGAAATTTCGAAAGTTTACATTGTTCCAAAATTAGAATTGTTTCAGTCAACTAGTCAATACAGTGAAAATTCAAGATATGATTTGGATACGGTCAACCTTAATTTTAGCTAAAACGTATTTACAATCCAATTTCATATTGATTTTCTTCTTTCTTCTCACTTACTTGGTCCCTATCATCAACAGTGTGCCCTTTGCCTATAACTTTACTTGAAAATTCGTATCAATTTCCTTTATCATCTACTTTCAGAACGTTAATTAAATTTTATTAACCTCCTCCGCAAGCTGTGTTCTAGAAATGACTTGCTCTTTCAATTACCATTCCAGCAATCGCTTCGGTTTCCAAGTATTTAATTTAAAATTCCAACTAATTTATTCAAAAACATATGCTGGCATAACTATTCAATTAAATGCAAATCAGCGTTCGCCTCTGCCGAGGCTTCGCCTATCGCCGCCAATAAAAAGTTGGCATCAATGTTGAGCTTTTTGTTTGAGTTTGTAAGGTGCGTGCACAGTAAATATTGCGTCATTCATTTGCCATAAAATGTGGGTGAACGGTTTGGCCTTGAACTTAGCATATTCCAGGAACAACACGCACTTTCGATTATTTTTAGATGTACATATGCGTGGAGGATTTTATGCCATGTAAATAGTTTAAGGGCTACTGCGATAGAGGTCGCTATCGAACGTTTTTATAAGGAGGTGGATGAGACCAGGGCACCAACAACTGTGCATATAAGCAAATATATTACAGAAATTACATATGGTATTCGAAACTGAAGTGTATTTAGCAATGTTCAATTACTAAATAATTAATCAATAAAATACATTCATTTATTTTATTTAAACCGCAAATAATTATAAATTATTTAGAGTAAATCAATATAGAAAAAATGCCTTTTGAAGAGAACTTTATTTATTTCGTACGCACACATAATGGAAGATACCCTTGTATATAAACAACTATGACTGGAGCATTAAAACAGTTTACCACACATAAAATAAAGCTATGACCACCAAGAGAGTGCAGCCGAATCAAAGGCAGGGTAGTATTTAGTATAACGTCAACTAGAGGATCAAAATCCAAGAAATTTTATATATACATATACCGACATGTTCGGCATAAGGTTTGTTCGAAAAGCGAAAATCATAATATGGTGCATGTATTATATATATAACATAGGAACGACCCGATTTTGTCTATTTTTCTGAATATCACATACTAAAAAAACCAATCAAATATGGTAAAGTCACCCGCAAGTTAGAAAATCTTCATATTATCCCTTAATTTCAATTATATATCTTACACATTGATCGACATTTTCGATCAAAAGTCAACTATCTGTACCGAGGTCCAGGTATTCGGTACCTAGGTGCTTGAACAATTTTTATTGACTTTCAAGGTTTTAAGTTTTTTTAATAATATTACTGATTTCTGGTAAGGGTGTTTCAAAGTTGTAGTTTCAAATATATTAGAATGTATTATTCAAGTTTTTTAATGAGTAAACGCTTCCTGCCCTACGTAGTTACAATTTTGACCTTCGTTATTCTGGAAAGACATACAAACAAATTTCGATATCTTCGATATTTGTATCTATAATACTCTCTACAACTGGTTGCAAGAGTATTAGAAAATATTTTTTTTTTTTTTTTTTTTTTTTTTTTTTTTTTGACGTAGGTAGACGACTCTCTCAATGACACTGAGATGCTTGCAAATTGTTTTTTTTAGAACTGACGTCACACTAAGTGGTTATTAGAATGACTGCTAGTAGGAGCTAAAAGCCTCCAAGGAAATGTTTTGTTGGTTTTTATAGCACACGAAACAAAAAAGACTTCCACGTCAGTCATTCATTTTACCAGCATTAATTTCTCATTTGCCACCCACAATATTGATAGCTTTTTAATAAGCCATTAGCAGTCCCAACGGATAACCAACGTCACAATTGATGCATCATCTGCCATGGGTAAAAATCAAATTAGTCACGCTCAAATATCTCCTACGAACTGACCGGCAGATGGCAGATGCCCCAAACACTACAGCTGTTGCCCGCTGGTGCCTGCCCTAAGTAGGCGATTGTTGGATGTGGCAAATGCAATTAATCATCGCCTACAGGATGAACTCACCAGGGCAGCGATGAGCGTTATATTCAGTGGTGTTCCAGTTCACTACTTACCGTTGCTGATAGCGATGGATCGGCTCAGCTCCACCAAACACGACATTGTGTCCGCTTGTTTCCTGCTCTTTTTGTTTGCTCTCCCGCTGGTACAGTATTTGCGACACTATGCCACGCAGCACATGCTCCGATGCGAGCAATTCACGTTGAAATTGCTCCCGGAATACAGCCAAATTTAAATTCGCATCTTTCGGCGTCATAGCCATCGGCATTTCGCTATTGACTCTCGCGCTATTGTTGCTGGCGACGGAGTGCACATGCGAGTAGAAGAGCACCGACAGAGTGGCCACGGCCAAAGCGAGGGTACCGAGGCACATATACACCGCATACAATGACGTGGGTGGTGTCGCATTTGGCGATAACGGCGTGGGCGGGTTAAACTTGGATGTGATCGTAGTTGCGACCGTCGATGCAGAACTGTATAAACTTTTATTCACAGAATCGCATTCACAGCGGCAGCCAGAGTGGAACGTTGAAAGCGCGTGTTGGCATTTTTTACATTTCGCTGTCGATTGCGATTCCGCTGCCGCTGGCTTTGTTGCAATTTTGGTTTTCGCAGCGTTTGTTATTGGGGTGCTGTCGGCTACAAAGTCGGGCAACATATCGTCAATGAGATTGGCCGTCGAACTGGACGTCGAGCTAGCCGCCGATGCTGTTGCATCAACTAACGGTAGTGGTGGCGATTGTGTTGCTGGTATTGTCGCCACTGCTTTCATCTCTGCTTCCGTCTGAGTTCCACCTTCCGGCATTGTTAGACCGCCGCCGTGCATAGTATCTGCCCCGTCGTCAGCAATTTCGGTAACAACAGCTGCCGCCGCGCGCCTTTTGTTCTCCTTTTTGCGCCTTTTGGCCGCCTGCCCATTCATTTGATTTATTGCCACAAACATTTTCGCGAACTAAATTCCTTTTCCAGTTTCGATACAATTCGTTCAATTTTTAGTGTAGCGCATATGTTGTTGTTTTATGGCTTGGCTTGGCTTTAGAAGTTCTGTTGTTGCCGCAGTTTAACTTTGTGGCACTTTTTCAGTCTCGTGTTGATTTGCTTTTTCGAAGCGATCGGTGAAAGATTTTGTGCAACGGTAAATGAACTGAAAATAATTAGAAATAATTTTAGTAAAAATATGTAAAGTTCATTTCAAAGTATTTTATTGGCAAACATTATATAATTATATAGTTATTTATGCTAATAATAATTTATTTATTTATTTTTATTTTATAAATTATTTGTACAATACATACTATTCTACAAATAAATATCTAGCAGCACTGGCAGCAGAGGCCTTCGGCTGCTAATAATAATTATTTAGAAAAAGAAGCTTATAATCTTATTTGTAATCTTCATCAACCATATAGTGTCTATACTATTTGAGGGATTATATCTAATTGCAATCCTGAATAAGCCGGTTTTTGTGATTTTTTTGAAAATACATTTTATTTAAATTATTTAAAAAAAACCGACAGTAAGTTTCCAGGATTTAATTTACATGTGAAAAAATTTGGAGAAATTTAGAATATGACCTCGAAAGAAATGTCCGGCGATCAGAAAAGTTTTTTTGCTTAAAATTATACCAATTTCAAGAAACCTTATTACTACTTTAGACTAATGATGGAAAAAATAGTCATAATATTGATTTTGCTTGAAATGCCAAAAAAAGTGGTTGTTGATACAAAATTTAAAATAATATAAAAAATGCATATTCTTTCCATCATTACCTGTCAAATGTATCTAAGAAAGTCTTGTGAAAACCGGTCATAAACTTAATTTATTTCTCTCAGAATAATAGTTATGCGGGGAATTTTAACAAACTCTAACGTGAAGTTTATGAGTAAGCTTTTTCTTCTACCTTTGCAATTTGAGAGAAATAACGTGAGACATATGTATTTGACATATTTGTGCACTTCTCAAAAACCCAATTTGAGATATCGATCTGAAATTTTGGACAAGTGCTTTCCTCTACAAGAAGCTGCTCATTTATTGGCAGCGCCGATATCGGAACACTGCAACATACGAGTATACATAGCTGCCATACAAATTGAAAGATCGAACCCACGTCCCTGCACATAAAACTTTTATATTTAGCTAGGTATAAATCTTCTCGAAGTTTGACATATTTTGTAATCGAAAGCAACATTACTTTCTCCGAATATATTGTTCTGGCCGGGCCACTGTAGTAAATAACTGCCATTCAAGCTGCTTCATCAAAATCGATATGTATATTTTTATACCTTTCAAGAACTAGAAATCATCAGTGAACTTTCTTATAGCTTCGATGTAGGGGAACTTGCATCCGCCTTGTAATAAAGCCAAAAAGTGTGGAAACGCCAAAGTCATGCAATAAAAAATGCAAATTAAGTAGTGAAATTCCGAAAGGTCAAAAAGAATTGTCACTGATTAAATTTGCGGTGATGAATAAAAAGAATACCTCAGTTTTTTTTGAAAATTCACTTGCCGTTTGCGCTTTTAAGCCATCGGCATTTGAATGTCATGCTTGTGAAAGGCTTCCCACTTCCACAGAAGCCGTTCCTATGGCATTCTTAGCGTAGCGTGGGTACATATCTGCTCCCAGCCCACACTTACCGGTTGCTATGAATATACTAAGGGCTGCTGGTGGTTGAAAGGCAAAAGTGCCAGGGTGTCACCAAGCAAATCGATGTCAATGAGAACACGATCAACTGGAAATGAACTATTCAGGCGAGCATTTGCGGTGTGTGTTAGCGTAGTTTCGGAGTGGTGAATTGAATACAGTATGTATACCAAAAAACCAACAAATTACCTTAGCTTCTTCCTTTCCCAAAACTTTATCGAAAAGTTCCATGCCCTTAAAGTATTAAGCTGAGAGCCGAGTAAGTAGGAATTTAGTGATGATGCAAAGCAGAAATTTGCCTTCATATAAACTTCCACCAAGTTCCTCTTCCGCATTTTCAGAAACTTTTTATTATAATTACCTCAAAATATTACGAAGGACGTGCCATTTGGCCATCGTTCGCAACTATTATTGCTTAATTAAAGCAAACAGAATTATATTTTCCTTTATTTATACACCTATATAAACAACCGCCAAGAAGATTTTCGAATTGTCAGTGCTGCGGTCTCGCAGGCGTTTGTGCAATTCCTGCGAAGTGGTCCTGCGGAGTAGCCAATACCATTATTCAGCAGTCATAACTCACAACAAAGATTTCCCTAACCCTCGTCTCGCATTATTACCGTGCTGTGCATAATAATTTTCTGTGCCAACAATTCATTATTATGATTTTTTATATAAAATATTTCTTTGCATCACAGGTTATGGCGGTTTCCTCTTCGCACGAAGTTCTCATCATCGCCTTTTGAATGAAAGATGCGGCTTCATGAGAAATATGAATATCTTATATAAGTAGGGTGTGAGTTTACTGTCAACTGCAAAAGCGATGGTACACAGAATTTCAATGCGAATCATAGTACGACATTAGTCTTCCTATATTATTTTTTAAAACTGTTATTATGTATGTGTACCAAAATGTTGAAGGTTGCACTGCGAAGAATTTCGCCATATTCATTGAAACTTTGAAATGTCTATGAACATAAATTTTAGTTGTAGCTATATAATTTTCCTGTGTACTGTACTTGCTTATGCACATTCAAATTATATAAAATAAATGCAATTTCTCCTTAAAATACCAAGAAATTTACAAAACCAAATGACTGACAATTTCTCAATATTCGAAACTCCTCGTCCACATTTGATGCTCTTGCAGGAAATGCTGACGCAAACGTCAACGCTTAAGAGTGATGATAATCGGCTAAATCATTTGATTGATTATTAAGGTTTTTTATTGATGACGACGACCGAATAGCAGCTGAAAACGCCTATATGGAGACAACCTCAATGACAAAGCGGTTCTTTTACCACAGAGCTTGTCGGCCAGCCAAAGAACCTGTGGCGGGAAAATGGAAAACCGCTGATATAGCTCATTTGCACAAGGAATTTATTTCATTTTCGGAAGTGAATATTTGTATAGAAACAAGGGCATGCCTGATTTCACGCACAGTGTGATAATCAAATAAAACTTGGTTCACAAAATAAACGAAATCAATATTTTTGCATTTAATCATGCTATAGACTCTAAGAGTTTAAGACGGTTAAGAGAGAATCCGTTCTAAAAACAACTTCTAGTAAAAATTTGGAAGCCATAGGCCAACAACTTCATATACAATCACTCTCTTTATTTTAAACTGTGATCTAAGATTATGTCTGACTGAATAAAGTGAAATGAAAGGGTACAAAAACAGAAGATGACTGTTTACGGTACTCTCTCGACCGACTTCGAAGGGTTTATACCACTCGTAGGCTTGTGTTTTTGATAAAACTGAATCATTGTAATCCTTTTCCAACATTTGCAATGTTTCTGCTCATAAAATTTGGTCAGAAGTACAAAAAACAAATTGTAAAAAGTGCAACACTGCACTGAGGTGTACCGACTTAAGCAGCTACAGCAAAGAAAATGGTTACAGATCGCGTTCATATTTCGCATAGTAATTAAGGCCAGTCATTTATATACTTCACCCAGAGAATTTAATTTCAATTTCCGGGTGCTTTTTTGTCACATTGTGTTATCAAACTGATCGATTGAAATCAAGCTTTAGTATTGAAAACTTTTTCATTTGACAGATAGATAGATATCTTGGACACAGATAATTATCCAAGCCGAGGCTACAATCTCCGCAGCAAGTACAGACATAGAGCTCACATAAGACTTAAATATAATTTATAGAATTACAATTAGTTATTTTCAAAATCAAGTTTTTTATATCCATAAAAACAGAATAACATTCACTGTCCACAAAATTCAATTCGGTATAAGCCCTGAACCCTGAACTCTGAACCTTCAATAGCGCGTGGCACATAAATGAACGTTAATTTTTAAATTCTTTCAATTTATTTGCACTTCGACCCATAATTTGCGCTTTTCCCTCTCATTGCTGCCTCTTATTTCTGATTAATTTCAGTGGCCGTCATTTAGCGTATTTCCGCTGACGCATGGAGGAGTAGAGGGATTTTAATGTATGCACCAATTACACCTAACTTTGGTAAAACGAGAAAACCACCGTTACATCGCATTTTCCTCCCACACATCTCCTCCGCAATTTCACCAATACAGTTATTCTCTTTTCAATTTTAATTACTTGACTGTAATCGGATCACCATTGTCAGCAATTCAGCGCGGAATTTCGAATTCAATGTAATTTGTGGACGTAACCGCTTTTAGGGTGCGTTTACCGAGGTGGCCCGTGGCACAAGCCTGCAGCTTATAAACAAGTGTTGTATTTATTGATGAATTGTATAGGTAATTGCGTATATGGTACTTTGTGTGCCTCATGTTGCTTATGTATTGAAGGTTAATTAGTTAGCAAAACTCATGAAATATCTCGTTGTCTCCTTGTCGTTCATTTTGGGGCTGCCAGGTGTTTTAAGTGTTTGAGGGTTACTACAAAAACAGGTTCTCAATTTTAATTCGATGACTAATTTGAGAGTAAGCAAAACCACAAAATAATGTGTTTGAAATGAAAATGGAGGGGGAAAGCCTTTGACTCAGAATTCACCATAGAAAAATAATACAATTATTTGACATGTGCATTATAACCCTTTTTGACAATATATATTTCACAATAGCTAAAATGTAGAACACGCCTGATTTATAAATGTAATTCAATCAAATATTGTAAAATCCTTTTTGTAGATATATAAAAATTATCGGAGATCTAGAATGTCATGTTGATCTTATATCTTATAATCACAAATGTGAGGTTTTACTGTGTACTAAGGTAACTGAAACAACTGTGGGTGAGAGTAAGATTCGTTTTGGTCTTGAGATGTTCACTAGCAATGGGACTCGATGCCAGGAGTGCGCCAATGACTTTGTCATAGTGGTGCATTGCAAATTTAAGAACACTCCTTGCGACATAGTTCAACAGGGCTTAAGTGTAGCAAAGGAATAGTGCAAAACGGTATGGTTAAATATCAACCCGGTAAAACAACCGTTGTCCATTTTACTAAGAGAATCCTTTTACTAAGAGGCAATGGAACGTTTTCCGAGCATCAGTGTGTAG